ACTAAAAAAATGGTTTCAAACAACATGGGACAACATGGACACTAACAAACAACATAAACCGTACATACAAAGAAAGACAAAATACTAATAACATTGAAAACTTGACCTTTGAGTGACCTACACTAAATAACACCAAAATAAACCAACTCTTGTTCCGAAAACTAAATGAGACTGCTCCTAGTCAAAACTAAAACAGCATCTCCTGATCACAAATATTACACCTGTGGTCATTCAGATACAAGAAAGGATACGCAATAAACAAACAGTCTACTACTGAGACTAAACTTGTCGAATCTTCTCTACGACTCACAATGACTACCCCTCGTACAACAACATTAATTAACCCTTGGCATTTAAATACACCTTCAGAGACGGTTAATTAGAAGACAAATTGCATAATACTACTTCTCAACTACATAGCTCAAAAGTCACTCAAACGAATACACACATTTACTCAAAATTGACGGAACAAATAAAAAATTACAAAAACCGATTATTCTGTAAGATTTGTCAAATCAATAAAAAAATAAATGTAACAGTAACTGTATAATTTGCTACTGTTTTTAAATTCTTTTCAATATCAATACTTCAATTAAAACTCATATTTAAATATTTAACTCAAATATTTGCTTTCATTTACCATTACATATAAGAAACAATACATATGTTAACATACACAAATATAAATTTTGGTACAAAATACATATATTATAATATATTACAATTAAATATGTTTGAGACAATTGGGGCACTATTCAAAAGGAAAAAAGTTTCATATATATGGCAGGGAACTGGGAAAACTGAAAAAGATATGTGGCTTGGGAAAAAAGGAAATCAAAATCTAAAAGAAACGGAAATATTCAAAAGCCCCTAGGTTGGGCGACAAAATTGTAACGACTATTTTGCTTACCACAGGGTAAGAATATGGGGGACAAGATTGGGCAAACAAAATAATCGAAACAAGTGCATACGACACTCAGTTGGTTGTTGGAGAGCTGGGTCGTGGATAAGTTGAAGATATTGGGGGTTAGATTGGGGTTGCTACAAAAAAGAAATAAAAGGTACTTATACAAATCTCTTGGGACAAACAGAATGAAAATAAACGGAAACACCTCAAGAAATTTAATATAGGGCGCCACTTGAGGTGCCCAATTATACCTATTACAACCACTAGTTGTAACTAGGGAAATAATTGTATAACATCAAAAATATAGAAAAAAGTATCTTTTTCAAATAAAACTCAAAATAGATCAGAGAAACAAATTAAACATTTATTTTTGTCTTAAACAAAACAGATCAAAAATACATATTATAAAAGAAACATATCATATAACATAATACAAATAACAAAAACTTACATGTTCTTTGTTTACTATATTATGGCCAATTAGATTATCAAAAATTAAGGATCCTTCTTAATGAAAACATATAAATTTAACCATATATATGAAATATCATTTCTACATAATAATCAAATTAAAATTGTCATAACAAAAAAACAAATTAAGCTTGCTGTCAGGTATCACATTTAATTTTGATGACAAAGAATGAAAGCAATTATTACTTTAGCCAAAAAATATCTGTCTTTACTTTGAAAAATTAATATATTGAATTGTTACCTTAATGTTTTTTTATACAAACACTTTGAAACTTTGCATCTCTGGGGAAGCTACTCGGACAAAACTTTCTAAACTGGAAGGCAGCAACCATCAGGATTTAGTTCTACACTCCAGGACAAAACGATTGGAACAGGAACTTAGTGGAAGAAATAAGCCGACTACGGGGACATCCTATATCATACTTTAAATATTTTCCATATTCTGGTATCTGCACAAATCCTTTAAATATTTAGTGGCTACCCCTTTCTAAATCTGTCATATTACAGAGAGTAATTGTTCCACTATTTAACAAAATTTGTCGACTTTTGCAAACTACATAACTAATACGTTTGTCCTGTTTTAAATCTCTCAGTCGACCCTATTGTCACATGTCTGCCCCGCTTGGAACTTAAATCTCGACTCTTTATCACATGTCTGCCCCGCTTGGAATCTAAATCTCGACTTTTTATCACATGTCTGCCCCGCTTGGAATCTAAATCTCGACTCCCTTGTCACATGTCTGCCCCGTTTGAAACTTAAATGTCCACTCCTTATCACATGTCTGCCCCGCTTGGAACTTAAATGTCGACTCTTTTCAAATCTTTTACTCCATTCTCACATGTCTGCCCCGCTTGGAACTTAAATGTCGACTCCTATTGTCACATGTCTGCCCTGTTTGAAACTTAAATGTCGACCTCTTATCACATGTCTGCCCCGCTTGGAATCTAAATCTCGACTCCTTTTCAAATCAAATTTTGGTCTCAATTGTCCATGTCTGCCCCGTTTGGAACTCAAATGTCGACCTCTTATCACATGTCTGCCCCGCTTGGAATCTAAATCTCGACTCCTCGCTTCGTTACATTTTACAAGAAACTAGCCAAAAATTTCCCTTCCGTCTTGCAGCTAACCTGTCCCCACAAACTCAAGAACCAAAACAATATCCCCTCGCTCGTATCGACAAAAAACCTTTTAAATATTCCTTTATTGCGTTTTTAGACGCCAGTATTGGTATCCTAAATAAACAAATATTCTTTTTGACTCTCATTCTAATAACGAAAAACAACTTTATTATTAGGGGAAATCATGTTTATTGCGTTTTAACATAATACCTCTTTGGCGACAAAAAACTTGTTATTTTACCTAACATTGCAACACAGAGATAAAAACATATTTCCAGCGTTAATACGCATCTAAAAATCTCGTCAAAAAAACTTGAAATATTTACAACGTACCTACATTTAACTTTATTGATCGATTTCTTGGTAGAAACAACAGGGACGTACCATAGAAATATTTTATATGCACTTTAAATAAAAAACGCTACAAGTTGTAAAGTTGATTCAGCTTTGAAAAACATGAAGCGACCAGAAGGAGTTCGTGACTGTCGGGGCAAAAGTGGTGGTAAAAATAAGACTGATCCCATTCGACTTCAGGAAGTTATGGACCATATTCACAAATTTCCCAAATACAAGTCCCATTACAGACGATCAATCACAGAAGCAGAATTTCTTACAGAAGAAACAACTGTTGCAAAAATGTATGAGTTGTACTCCGAAGAATTGAGAAATCCAGTGAGTTTTTCTTTATATAAACAATTTTTTTGACAAAATTTAACCTTCGCAGGAAAAAACTTAAGAAAGATACTTCTAATGTGTGTGATCGTTTAGAAAATGAAAATAAAACATTGTGTGGATAATGATAAACTACTGATTTTAAGAAACGAAAAAGATTTACATTTGGAAACAGCAGAAAAAGCACAAAATAAAAGAAAAGAAGACATGCTTACAGCTAAGAATCAGCTTGATACAGAAACTCTATGTTTTGATCTAGAGAAAACTCTGCCTCTTCCTAGAATCCCGACTAATATAGTCTATTATAAAAGGCAGTTGTGTGTGTACAACTTAGTCATACACAGTGGACAAACGAACAAAGGACATTGCTATGTTTGGATTGAAGGAGAAGCAGGTAGGGGTGCTCAAGAAGTTGGCAGCTGCCTTAGAAAACACATTAAAGAAAATGTGACTTCCAAGAAATTAATCCTTTGGTCTGACTCATGTGGTGGCCAAAACCGCAACGTCAAGATTATATTAATAATTAAAACAGTTTTGGAAAGTCACCCTACTCTTGAACAAATTACATTGAGGTATCTTCTCCCAGGACACAGTTTTCTACCTAACGACTCAGATTTTGGAGATATCGAATCTGCACTCAAACTGCAACAATGGTTTTATATAGTAAATGATTACATCGAAATTATGAAAGCATGTCGTAAAAAAAATCCTTTAGTTGTGCACAGAATGACAAATGAAGAGTTCGTGGGAACAGAAATATTGGAAAAACAAATTACCAATCGTAAAACTGATGTTACAAATGGTAAGGTGAGTTGGCTCAAAACAAGGGAAATTAACATTCAAAAAGAAAAACCTCGTACTATATTAATGAAAAGTGACTTTAATCAGGATACTTTCATAGAAATAGATGTTTCTAAAAAACAAGGGAAAGGAAGACCCATTATTCAATATCTCCGCAATTTTAGTGAACACTTGGTTCAACTCTGGCCACAAGGTAAACCTATTTCTAAACCAAAATTAGACGATCTAAAATCTTTACTGCAATTTATACCATTGGATGCAAAACCAGTGTATAGGTCCTTATTTAGTAACAATGATGTGGAAGATGACATTGAAGGATTTAATGGTGAACTTGGTTTTCCAATAGATGACCAATAAAGTTAGCAATCTAACAAACTGTATAGTTTTCTTGGTATTTTTTTGTAATGATTCTTTCCAATGTGTAGATAAAAAATGTTTTTTTTTATTAAAATGGTTTTCTTTAGTTTTCCTCTTTTTAAAACTCTGTATAACTAAATTTTTTTATTGATATAATTTTATCTGATGGTAAAATAAATTTAGAGCAATAAAAGGTAAAAAAATATATTCAATGATTATAGAATTAATTATGTTGTAGCAATATACGTTTAACATAAAAATTTTAAAACTACTAGTTTTATTTTACTGATTACAATAGCCCTATCGCAGTATTTTGTTTTGCATTAATAGACCAAATGACAAATGGTAGTTGGTCTAGTAATGTAACGACTAAACTTCCTGAAAAAGCATAAGTAGACCAAGCGCCATTTTATTTTTTTTTTCTAGAATATGGTAGGTGCGATTATATTGAAACTTTGCAGCCAAAAATAGTTGTACGTGATCATTCTTATGGTAAAATTTTGTGCAAATATATTAATAAATGTATTAGTATTAGTTATTAGTAAATGTGAACCCATTTATCTCAAAACTATGTTTTGGCGCTTGGTCGAGTTATGCATAACGCCGTCCAACTAATTTACAACTTAACTTAATGTCTTGTGCATAGATATTAAATTCTATCATTCTTTTACAGATAACTAAGGAAGATAAGGTGTCCCAAAAAATGTGCCATAAGTGTGTCAGTATTGTAATTAAGACATATCAGTTTAGAGAACAAGCCATTAGAAATGATGAAAGTCTTAAGGTAATTATCAGATTCCTTAGAAAATTGTATATGGGCCATTATCATAAAATGAACCTAAACCTCTGAGAAAAAATAAGTTTTTGATATGTGTTAACCTAGTCTACAATTTAACTTAAGTTAGATACGACATGCCACCTCTTAATGGCGAGCTACTTTCATTTCGGTTTTAAATACGCTTTTGTTATGTTCTCGTTATATTTTTTGTCTTTGTAGGTTTTATAAGTAATCCTGCGAATAGTTTTGGTTGCATCACGGTTTCACCCATTTCTTCTTCTTCTTAGGGTGCCTGTCTGTTCCGAACGTTGGCGATCATTCTGGCTATGATGATTTTGTTGGTTGCTATACGAAATAGCTGTGTTGAGGTCTTTCTATACCATGCTCTCAGGTTAGCAAGCCAGGATATTCTTCGTCCTGGAGCTCTTTTTCCTTCAATTTTACCCTACAAAATGAGGTTCACCTATTTCTTTAGGTTTTAGGCTATGGATGGTCGACTTTTTAATTCCGATCGACACTTTGTCGTGAAATGCTCAGTTTGTTATTTAGTTCTGTACTTAGTTATAATATATGTAAGGTGTAAACCATAAATATAATAAACTGTACTGATATAAACAGAGACGCATAAGGAATGGTCATTTGACAATGACTTTTCTGTCAGTCACGCTCTGTTTCACGATCCAGTCCTTATCAATATCATACCAAAACTAAAAAAAATACGCCGAAACAAACCATAGAAATGCAGTATTAAAATACTTCGAAACGAAGCTAATAAAGAAAAGGTAGCAACCAAACTTAATGAAGATCTGAAAAAACAATCATAATAGGAGACGAAGAAATAGAAAATATATGGCAAACCATAGTTTGAGTCCAACGAGAAGAACTTAAGAAAACGAAAAATGGATGACGGAAGATATTTTGGGACTCATGGAACAGAGGAGAACATACAAAAACAACTCACATCTATATAAAGAAATCCAAAGAACCATAGATTCATAAATCAAAGAAACAAAAGAAAAGTGGATAAATGAAATGTGTGACGAGATAGAAAAGCTTAACCTCTCAAAAAATTAAAAGAATCCTCCAATAAAAAAAAAAAGCAACATAATATACCCAGTCGAGCTGACAACAAAAGAAAAGACTAATTATAGAAAAAAGCGAACAAATTTAAGTATCGGAGGAATTTATCGAAAAATCCTTTGCGGATGACAGACCTGAATGTCATCAAACGTCGACGCGAGAGATGGGAGAACCCCCAATCCTAGACGTAGATCTAAAATATGCCATACAATGTGCAAAGAATTAGAAAACTTGTAGACCCGAAGAGATAAAAATAGGTGTAATAAAATTAATAGATGATAACAACATAAAACTGCTATAATACCAAAGGAATGGCTTAACTCAAATTTTATAGCTATACCAAAGAAATCCAGTTACCACAAATGCGATAAATTTAGGCTCATTAGCTTAATGAATCACTTAACTAAAAATATTCTTAAATATCATACAGAATCGAATTTATGAAACATGTGAAATAGACATAAGTAACTCTCAGTTCGGATTTAAAAAGGCCTTGAGAACAAGAGACGCTTTGTTTGCGATTCAAACACTCATGGCAAAAATGCCTCGATAACCAGAAGAAAGTATATATCTGTTTCATCGACTACCAGTAGCCTTTTGATGGAGTCCATCATGAAAAATTGTTGTATGAACTACAGGAAATGAAGCTAGACGGAAAAGATCTCCGCATAATTCAAAACCTTTATTGGAACTAAAAAGCAACCTTAAAATATTCCAACCATGCTACTAAAAGCGTCCGTATACAAAGAGGTGTTCGACAAGCCTGGGTCATGTCTCCATTGTTCTTTAACTCGTTATCCAAATGCATATTCAAATAAGCACTACACGCCGCCGAAATTTTTATAAAAATCTTCTTCTTCTACTTTTTGTAGATCTTTCGATCTGTTTAATTCTGAAGCTGCCTCTGGTCTTCCGGGTCTTGAACCGGGCGGATTGTATTCTAAGGCAATTTTTGGGAGTCTATTCTCATCCATTCGTCTTACATGGTTGTACCACATCCTCTTGCGCTGCCTTCCCCATCTTACAATATCTTGAATTTTGCACTGCTCTCTAATGTTTGTATTTCTCACTCTGTCTCTTCTTGTTTTCCCCATTATTGTTCTTAGGGTTTTCATTTCGGCAACCCTTAGCATCTGTTTCGTTTTGTTAGTATCTTCGCGTACTTCTATGCCATATGTCATGATCGGTCGTATGCAAGTCTTATAGATTCTAATTCTACTATCTGTGCGCATATACGGATTTGACCAGACTATCTCCCGCAGACATCCTGACAGTGCAGATGCTTTGTTGATCTGACTCCTCAGGTCATTTACTGGGTCGTGGGTGCTTGATATATCTATGCCCAGATATCTGAATTGCATCACCTGTTCTGTGGGGTTGTCCTCAACCACTAACTTACATCTGAGCGGATCTTTTGCTATTGTCATACATTTAGTTTTGTTGGTAGAGATGTTCATATTTAGTAGTCGGCTTGTTTGAAAGAACTGAAAGAGCTGCCTTTGGAGATCATCTTCTGATTCGCCAATAATTGCTGTATCGTCTGCGTAACACACCATACCAATTCTTTTGTTGCTTTGTTTATAAAAATAAACGGTAAATACATTAAAAATATCAGGCATGCAGACAATACCGTTCTAATAGCAGAAAAAATAGAAGACTTTCAAGATATAGTAGAACGGGTTAATATTGCAAGTGATGCAATGGGACTGACAATAAATCTTCAAAAAACTAAAATAATGGTGATTAGCAGAACCATGAAAATTGTCGCATTAACCTAAATAACACTTAATTAGAACACGTTCACAAATTCAGATACCTAGGAGTTGTACTAAATGATAAATGGGATCCAGATATAGAAATAAAAACAATATAGCAGGCTATTAACGTGTACAAAACATGAAAACAAATTATCTATATTCGAAAACTAAGCTTAGAAATCTGAATTAGAGTTATAAAGTGCTACGTTATGTCAATCCTTCTGTATTGAGTTGAAGCTTGGACCTTAAAATTAAATACCATGAGACGGCTAGAAACCTTTGAAATGTGGCTTTATCGCGGAGTGCTCAGAATATCATGGTCCCAACACATAACGAATCGAACAGTATTAAATAACATAAATAGAGAGTTACAGTACTGTGCAAATGATTGGAATCATTGGCTGTTTTAATTAAAAATGTTTATTTAGAAAAAATTATATTTTGACAAAGCTATAAAGGAAAACTTACATCATTTAGGAGGAAATATGTCCCTCTTGGAGTACAATTCCTACTTTTACCCGTTTTGGCATAGATTCTACGAGCTTCTGACAGTTTCCAGATATCCTTTCATCTCGAAACCAACCCTGAACGACCGCCTCTATCATTTTTATTTATGTAGTACAGTCGATTGTTCGCAGTCCAGCTTTGCAAATGGCCATAAATTTTCAATGGGGTTGGGGTCTGGTGAATTACCGGGCCATTCTAAAACAATAATCTTATTTTTGAAAAATTCCATCATTTGCTTTGACTTCTGACAGGGAGCAGAGTCCTATTGAAGAAACGTCCCTCCTTGGGGTTGGCATTTTTGGAGTTATGTGTCCAAACGTTGTTCGAACATGGATATATTTTGTATCGTCCTCTTCCTAGTTGTAATGTCTGCTGAAAATCTACATCGCGCAGTCATCAAAGAAACACAAGCTTGTTGTGCCATCTTTTCCACTACCGATCAATATTCTTACAGAGATTCGTTGAAGCCTTGGATAAGCACTTTTAGTTGACTCTGGTATACTTGTTTCAAATATTGGCTGGCATATCTTAGTTCTAGAACCGATACGATGGTCTCATACTTATTTTGAGCGTCTCTGGTATGTTTTGGAGGATTTCGACAGCCTTACTTTGAAGTGCTAATATGAGAGCTGTTACCTTTTGTTTATATCTCCATCTATTATTTTATGTAGCAGCTTCGAATTGTCTTCTGTATACTGGCGATGAGGTCTCACCGTCAAATATAGGAAGCTTAATTATTCCGTTGACAGAGGAACAAATCACTTGCGCTTTACGTTCAACGCTCAGTTGCTTGGTCTTTGCAATTTCTACGCGGATATTTTCAAGGGTTCTCGTTATCTTATCATGTCTTTTCTCTACTAGACCTCTTGCTACTTCAACTTTTTTAATCATACCTTTTGTCTCAACGATCTCTCTTTTCCTATCGCCTTTTGTCTCTTCGGTTTCTCTTTTCATAAACTGAAAATCTCTAGCCTCTATTTTTGATAAAAGACTTATGAGCAACTCTCTGTCTTCCTGGTGAACGAACAGATGTTCTAGATATTGCTAGCGAAGTCATGAACGTCAACACTTTCAGTACGAAATTCCAGGAAAATACCGCGAATAAATAATTAATAGAACGCTAGGTAGAATTTTCGAGATATTACAGGACCGTAATTACAGTCACATAACAATATATTCTCTTAAAACTCCATATGTGAGAGCAGAATTAAAAATAAACTTTGAGAAAATTAAACTAATCTCGAATGAACCGAAATATACCTATTGATAATATGATTATACAACAAACAGTCACTTCTAAGGAGTTCAATTCCCTTATATCTCAAGCGAAAGGTTTATAACCAATGTGTTTTGCCCGTACAAACTTATGGAGTTTACCCGTACAAACACTTTAATACTAAAGCAAAAAACTGCAAATTAACCGTAAGAGCTATACAACGAGCCATGGAACGTGTAATACTGGGCGTAAGCCTTCGAGACCACATCACAAACCAACAAATCAGGCAAAGATCAGGCGTTCAAGACGTCATCGGTAGAATCACGATGTATCATGGAATGGAGGCCCAGAAATTATAAAAGAAGCCGAGGACGACGACCGACTAGATGGATGGACAACGTGAAAAGAGTAGCGGGAAACTCGCAGCAAGCTGCTCATTGTAGAGAACATTGGAAGATACTGAGGAGGGAATATGTTCAGCAGTGGAAGTGATTGGCCGAGTAATGATATCTTTATTGCTCGAGATGGATTAGGCAGGCCTATCTTTTCCACGACGACTGGTTGAAAACATTACAGGCATATTCAAAAGACCTATGCGTGAGAAAAGAAATAACCAGAGACAGAGATCTTTCGAGGCGGACAATAGACGACATCACGATCTAGAAGAGAGACTGGACAACTTATAGATTGGATATAAAACATATCGAAATTGGAGTAGAGTTGCCAGAGACAGGGGATATAGAGAATTGTTCTAAAGAACGCTTTGGCTGATTTCGACTGAATGTCTATGTGAATGAATATATAACAATCAATTTTATCAGCAGACGTTGAGTGCATATTTGGAAGCATAGCTTTCTTATCAGGGGCTACGGATATAATGCGTTGACCGATGAAATGGATCGCACAGAGGTGTAGAGGTAAAAAATAAAAAGAAAACAAACCCAATGAAAAGCAATGAAACACTCTGCGACCGCACATTACGTGGAGCAGTAAACGCAGTTGCATGAGTAAATAATTAATAAATTATTTATAGAATAGAATTGAATGGAATCAAATCGAAATCCAGGCCGTAGAAAAATGTCATGGTTGCGTAATTTTAGAGAGTGGTCTGGCACCATTAATGAACTCTTTAGGTCAGCTATAAACAAGGTCAGGATAGCTTTGATGATTTCCAATCTTCGATAGTAGTGGCACAAGAAGAAGAAGGAATCGAATCGAATTAAATCAAATTAAATGGAATTGAACGAAATGGAATCGAATGGATTCGAACTGAAAATGATTGAATCGTATTGGATCGAATGGAATCGAATGAAATTAAATCGAGTGGATCATTCGAGAAATGAAACAAATTGAATCGTATCGAATTGAACTGAATAGAATTGAATCGAATTGAATAAAATCGAGTGGAACTGAATAGAATGGAGTCGAATGAAATGGATTCGAAATGAAACAAATTGAATCGCATTTAAATCAAATTGAAATCAATTGAAATAAGAAAGCTATGCTTGTCCTCCTCGGTCACTCCCGGAGTACAAAATCCTGTTTTTTTATCTTCTCCCTCTATCTCTTTCTTTCTTTTATGCGATTTCTTTCGCCAATTTCTTTGTACTAATCTTGACATTTGATCAAATTTTATGCTTAATTTTGCCCCTTCATCTTAAATTAAGGTATACTGGTATGTCACATTTCGAGGTCTATTTTTTTACGTATGCAAATAACTTTATCGCTCATACCTCATTAGCATCATTTTTAAATACATTGGTATTCAGAAAAAATGGGCCGTATACAAATTTTAAATAATCATTTATTATAATTTTGTAATTAATCATATTTTAATAATTATTTTTTCAGGCAAAATATGCAAAACTTACAAAAAGCCAACCAGAAAAGACTAGACCAGCAAATACAACTGAAACAATCTTCAAGTGCAAAGACGAAGTAAAAACTGAAGATGTAAATTTAAAAGTAAAAGCTACCAAGGTTGAGAAACCTCATCCGTATATCGTTCATCCTAGTGTTACTGCAATTTTTAAAAAGTATCCTACCATGCGAATACCTACAGTGTGTATTAATTCTAATATAAGTCCAACTGTGGTTATGAAGATGGACGAGGTGGAAAATTATTTTAGGTGGAAAAGATCAAACTTGAATATACAGCACGATGTAAATATAGTTACGAAGGAAAAGCAAGTGGCTCGGAAAAGTACTTCCATAATTGCTTCAACTTCAAAAAACGTGGTATCTAGAAATGTTTTGTGTGAAGAGAACTGCAATAACTCAAAGAATATTGACGTATTGTATACTACTAACCGCAAAAGAAAATTATCCGACAGTAGTAGTTCTTCGCATCAAAGTGCTAAGAAGCCTTTACTTGATGAAACTGCAGGCACTCCAGTTGACTCAAGCCCTAGTCCTGTTCCGTCAACACTTGGTGATAATATTTCTGAGTTATCTTTCGCTAGATCTGAGAAGCTTCATGTCTGTAATATTTGCAATTCCGTTTATTCTGGAGCTTCAAACTTAAGAAAACATAAGTTTAAACATCTGCGTTGTCAGTTTTGCAAGAAAAAATTTAAAACTTTTGTGTTAAAAGATACTCATGTTAAGAACGATTGTAAAATACAGAAAATCCTGAAATCTATGGTCAACTTACCCGATATCCCTCTGCAAAAAATAGAATGTAATGTAAAAATACGAGACAAATTCCGAAAAGCTTTTGCAGCTTTTAATCTTATTCCCAAGGAAGATGCTAATAGGCTAAAATCAAGAATTCCCAACACTGGACAAACTAAAGTAACTTCAGATATTATTGAAATTCTTTCAGATGAAGATGAAGGAGAATGCGAAGAGGATAGTGATTCTTTGTTTACGGAGATTATAATAAAAGATAAATTCATTGAAGGGCTTAAAACTGATACAGATTCAGACACAGAACTTCTTCAGAATTTGTTAAGCCAATGTAACACATCGAATAAAAAAGTTTGTGAATCAACTCAAACTAACATCCCGACTAAGTCGTCGATAACATTTAACCATGCAAATTCTTCAATCCAATTGAAATTTTTAAAGTCAATGTTGAATTTTCATCAAATACCCATTTGTGTAAATTACGGTTCATGTTTCAAAATATCCTACAAGAGAACTTCTGAAATCGTAGAAAAGAAAAAGTTGCATCACTGGAACGATTTAACTTGTTGTGATATTAATTTTAACGACACATCTTTGGAGGAACTTGATTCTATTAACGTTGAAGTCACGCCAGATATTATAACATACGACGATACTGCTGTATCAACAGAAGATGAAATCTTAGTAGAAGATATCTATGCTCGATCTGTACCAATATTTTATAAAATTCCTGAAAAAACGACTGACGCTGAGGCTAATAAAACATCGGCTGACTCGCAATATATCACAAAAGGCACATGTGTCACAACACCCGATCAAACTAAAAATAGCCAAGATGAAAAATCTTACTCCAAAAAGTCAGATGTTTATGAAGATATCGTAGTAATTGAAGATGATGCTGAAGTTACAGAAGTATTAAATAGTGAAGAACATACTAAAGAAAATAAAATTAATAATACTACAAAACTAGATATTACTGGCGAAAGTGTGGGCGGGACGTCAAGTAAAACTAAACAAATTAAATTTATCGCAAAATATTATACAAAAGATTCAAACAATACAGACATATTCTATGAAGAAAGTGATATTGTGATCACAACTGATTTACCCAAAACTAATACGCTAGTAGATCACAAGGCAAAGGATCCAAGTGTTGAAAAAAAATGTACTGAAAATAAAAAATCGACTGCCATTAGTGATAAAATGACAGAACGTGTTAGTTTGGAAGTAAAGCAAGCCTGTTACGAGGTCATAAAGGAAAAATCAAATATAGATAAAATTAACATTCAATCTGACTGTATCACAAAAGAAAATGACACTGAATCTGAAAAAGAAACATCAAACAATAAAAAAAATAATCAAAATAGTGTAGGGGTAGATCAAGACGGTGATGAAACTCTAGAACAAGTATTAAATCAAACTAATTTAGAAAAAGATGACTCAAATCACAGCAATGTGGAGCTGATTATTAAAAAAATGTCAAAGAACGTAGATGAGACGCCAAATAAAACTAGTATGATTATAAGCGGTACTGCTGACAAGAATTTAAAAAAGAATAATGATAATGCACACACAAAAGAAACGAACAAACGAATAACAAAAAACTTATTGTTGAATCGCTTGTTGAATAATCGAAAAGATGTAGGTCAGAATAGTTTATTAACACATAATATTGAATTGATTGAAGATTTATCAAAGGATCTAACAAATGAAAAAATTGCTGAAAATACCAACTCAAATAACGTTGATAAAAAAACATCAGCCCAAACTGAGATAGGCCAATCCGATTGTGAAATTGTGATAGATAAAATTAATGAAACTATGAACAAAGATAACAACAATATCGATATAGAAGAAAAAAGTTATAAAGAAAATATTTTAGGGGACATTATTGTTATAGATGATAATGAATCATCAGAAGAAACAGTACATGAACAAATAGTAAAAAACGGTGTAGACTCCAATCTAGACTATTGTGTAATTTCAGATGAAGAACTAGATCAAGATGAATCCATAAAAGAAACAATAGATGATGAAAGTTCGAAAAAAACTTACACGCAACTATAGCATTTAAAAATAAAGTAGATCAAATTGATAAAAACGATTATTGCGAAAGTCAGTAGCCAAAGACACTTAAACTAAAAACAAAGAATTCTCAAATCTGAGTGATCTCACCAAATCGAATTAAAAGCATTAAATCAAATTAATATTTAATTATGATTTTTGCTAATAAAGATCGTGTGAATCAATATTAACAACAACGAGAAAGAGCGAAGAAAACATTTGAATCACCAAGACAATTGATTTCGTAGATCATATTTGAAAGTATTTTATAAATACAGACATTTTTCTAGAAAGACTGCTATGAACTTGCATTATACTTAGTTTTCTATTACTTTGTTACCGTGTAAATTTTTGGTTATAAATCTAATTTTCTTATGTTTTTAGTTTTATTCCCTCCACTTGTCATAGATTTGATGAGACGAACAAACTGAATTTTGCTGAGAATATCAATTTTGGGTGTCACAAAACATAAATACAAGTTTGCCACTCATACCCCGGGTTTCACCCAAAACCCCCTCGAAGGGGAAAATGGAAAAATAGATTTATCAAGGATCTGTAGGCCGTAGAAAAAAATGTTTTAAATAATAAATGTAACGAACATAATTTTGAACAAAAATGTTTACTAGCACTTTTGTGTAGGATTATCTAGTCGCTACGCAGTCAAAAAAACCGCACGTGTTATAGCGGCTTCCCACGGTCGGCGATATTGCGGACGTAAGCGGACCAGCACGCACCACGCACCGTGGGAAGGGTCTCGTCCGTGGTAGCTCAGGCACGTCCGTGCTGGTGCGTCCTATCCATCTAGATTCGGTAACATCAAAGGTGCGGTACATGCTCGTGCGACGCGATCCTAGGGCGTCTGTCTTTTAACAGACGACAAGTGCAACTCAGAAGTTTTTTATTCGCTGACACGAGTAGTTGTCTGTAATGTTGTCAAAGTTGTTTTGCAGTTTTTTGCTGAAAAATGGAATGGGCAAACGAAGTTGTTTTTGATTTTTTAAATTTGTATCAAGTTGAACGAAGTTTATGGAATTCCACGGCGCCAGAACATAAGAACCGGAACGATGCATGGAACCGAATAAAAAATCAATTGAAGAATATTACTATTTCGATTAAAGAATTAAAAAAGAAGAGAGATAATTTAATTTCGACATACAGAAGGCAAAAAACAAAAGTTAGAGAATCGATTGGAACTGGTAGTGGGGCTGATGATGTTTACAAGCCTGAGTGGCCTTTTTATGATATAATCAAACACTACTGTCACGGACCTACACAGACTGTCACGGACCGTAGGAAGAGCTCTGTCTGCGGTGCGTTGCCGTCCGTGCTGATCGGCTGTCCGCGATGATCTGTAGAATTGCCGATCGTGGGAAGCCACTATTACAAATTAATTATACTTCTGCGAAAATTTAGATTTGGCAACCACGGCCTTCACTAGCTAACTTATTCGATACGTGGAGCCATGATACTATGACTAACAAGATAAGATATAACGCATACTGAAGAGAATTAGTTTTTTTCGGTTTCCCAAAGATAATGGTTTGTTACGGTTTGTTTGTTAAGAAATGGGTACGTACATTTTTGTCGCCAGTTTGACAAATTCAATGTGATCACTGTAATAATGTGTTTTGTACATTTTACTAGTGATGATTGTGAAAGATATCATGGCAGAATTAGAATATGCCAGCAAGAGTAGAAGAATTTTGAAAAAGGATTTATAGTTGAGCCGCCGAAAAGATGGAATGATCACGTGAATGGCACGCACTCTTAAATATTCCTCTCCCTATGTTATCACTTTTCCCACGTTTACACCGGTCAACAAAAACGGACTAACACTCTTGCTATATTTACACCATTGTTTACAAGTTATTAAACGTAACACACAATTAATAAAATCGTTAATAAACCTAACTCAGACAATAATTAATACAAATTAATATACGTACGCGTGAACTCTACAAACAAACAAAAATTCACCAGTTAGCGGAAGTAAAATACTAATGAATAAAGACGGTGTAAACAGTCTCTCAGAAAATCTAGTTTTGACCGCCTGTCGAGGCTTGCATTCAGCGATCATGCGAACTTGGATTCCATGTTTTAAGCGGCCAGGGTATAGTACCTTGCCTTTTAGGAAACAAATTAGACCATTAGAGGAACCCTGTAAAAAATGACGTAATGCTAGATTAAAAAAATATTGTTAGTAGAGAAGGAAACATCGTTTCTTTCAAAAAAGGTTTAGAGCCAGAAGGTCCACCATAGATGCGATCACAGTAACCTCTTTAGTCGTGCAGGATACAAAGAGATAGGTGGCTCTCATCCTGTTTGACGTCAAGATAGTCTTTCACACGGCATCATAGGAAAACATCATGTCCAGGCTGAGAGAATTGGGCGTTAGTGAGTTCTTGTTCAACGTAATTTACAGGTTCATGAGAGGAAAAAAGATACCAGTATCAGTTTTCCGCAGGGTTCAGTACTAGGTTCCGTCCTGTACGACGGGGTATTAAGGCTACATATGCAAGGGGATGCAGTCTTGTCGCTTATGCTGATGATCTCGCACTGGTTGCCAAGGCGAGTCAGAAAACGGACATGGCTAATGTGGCTAGCACAGCCCTGCGTCGTATTAATAGGTGGATCAGAGAGAACGATCTACAGCTAGCGCCTCAGAAAACTGAGCTGTTAGTTCTCAAAGGGAGCCGGGACAAATCCTCTCATCGCTTTGTAGTGGAGGTTGCACCGGTTAAATATCTCGGTGTATGATTGTCGGAAGGACTGAGGTTTGGAGTACACATCCAAAAGATGGTAGATAAGGCGAACCGAAATCGGGACGCGTTGATACGTCTTGATGAAACATTGGAGTCCCAGGTAGCACCAAAAGAAGGTGCTAAATGGAGTTTTCCAGTCGGTGGTCACCTACGATGCCCCCGTGTGTTGTAGTACACTGAACACTGCGAAATACGTTAAGCTGATGGAGACTTCGCACAGGCGAATGCTTCTCAGGGGATCTAGCGCATACAGGACGATTTCAAATGAGGCCCTGTATGTTATTGGAGGGGTGATACCGGTCGTTTTGTTGTGCAAAGAGCGAGCGAGGGTGTATGTGGGAAGATGGATGGAATATATGTAGATGAGAATGAGAGAGAAAGAACGATAGTGGAGTGGAAGAGAGAATGGGCGTATGATAGCGGAACGGCAAGGTGGACGAAAGAGCTTATTCCCGATCTGAGGCCGTGATGGAAATGTAAGTTCAGGAAACTAGACTACTTTCTGACCGGACATAGTAGTTTTGGCACCTTCACAAATAGAATAGGCAAATCTGCTTCGGCAGACTGTTTGTGGGTTACCGGACGCTCCCGCCCACATTTTTAACTGCCAGAGATGGGCAAATGAGAGGGGAGATTTCCAGAGGCGAATGGATTTCGGGCTGGATGAAAGAAACATGGTAAACATAATGTAGAGAGGAGAGGAAGAATGGAGAGAAGTACACTGATTTCTGGGGTGATGAAGGAGCAGGAGAACAGAGGAGGAAATTGAACCGGGTATCTGAAATTTATGGTTATTAAATTTTAATAAAAACAATATTGTTTATTATTCAATCCACCTTGCAATAAAAGTATGTACTAAGACCTGTGCCCGAAACATCCAGTACATTATATGACGTCGTAATTAATGACACACTGAAAGAAGGCTCTGAGAAGAACCATGTGTATAACTTTTCCTTGCTTTTGATGAAGCAAAATTAGAACATCAAAGTTAATCATTTCAAATTGTTCTCTTTCCACACTTTGCTAGGTCACTTGGGCGATCTTGTCCCATCGTAGATATGTCAAAATTATCTTTAATTTGCTGAATGAACGTCAGCAGCTAGTTATAAATTGATACTGAGATAGTCAGGAGTATGTAAAGTGCCATTATCAGGTTTGGAAAAACATCTACATGCTAGATTATAAAAGTAAAAAATTCTAATGGTGTTTTAGGTTTAATTTCTTTTCTACTGCGAAGTAATATTTTGCACTCACATCTATATGAATAAAAAAAAATCTCCGAAATGTTTTATAAGCGCATAACTTTAGAACTACTGCACGAAATTAGATAACTATTTTTTTGTTGTGTTTGTTATCATCAGGATGTTTGTGTAAAATAATATTTTTAAAAATTTGTACGGAAAGGCGTAAAAAATAGATTTGGTATCCAGCAAAACAACCCACTATTAACCCTTAACTGCTGACCATGCGTCTCACAGACTCCGCACGTTTATTAACGCATCTGCGTTTCTCGCCGCAAATACGTGCCAACCTGTAATTCGGTGTACCTTTCTAGCTTTTAGAGTATATTCGAACGTGTTAATGAGAGGTACCTCGCTCGTCCCGTTTTCGAAATATTTACGTCGCGGAGTCTACTAGACGCAAGGTCACCATTAGTGTTATTTTAATATGGATAGTTCTCGTAAAACTGTAAGAGTATTCGACGATGATTTCGAAGAAATGTGCACAAAATGATATAATAAGGCGAACAGTGACATTCATGATGATGTGGAAGAAGGTATTTATAGAAAGTGAATTTTACGGACAGTGAACAAGAACTAAGTGAAAATGAACAGCAACAAGACTCAGAAATGATATCTAGCGAAGACGAAGAAGAGTGTGCCAATTCCAGCAATTATTACTATGGAAAGAATAGGTGTAAGTGGAGTAAAAAGGAGCCAACTAGAAACGTCCGTACGGCTGTTCACAATATTGTTGTACTCCCATCAATCCGTTCAAAAGTAGAAAAATCGATGAGTCCCGTTTATTATTTTAATAAGTTGTTTTCACCAGATATGTAAAGTCTTTTTGTCAAAAGAACTAACGAAAAACTCACAACTTTTCGGCCAAAATATCAATAATATAAAAAAGACAAATCCAAGTTGGCTGATACTGATAAAATAGAATTGGCTTTCTTGGGGCTGCTTCTTTATATTTCTATTTATAAGTCAAATGGTCTTTTTAAGAGTTGCAATATTAAAGTTACTCCAGGTGATACTGGTGTCATCAGCAAAGAGACAAAATTTTCCATCGATTTTTAAATTAGTAATGTCATTTATGAAAATAAGAGACAATACTGAACCTTGTGGTACTCCATATACAATGTTTTGTAAATAGAGTCAGTATCATTTGCTCTAACTGGTTGTTTCCTATCCCCCAAGTAAGATTGGAACCAATTCAAAGTAATACCTCGAATTCCGTAGAAAGGGCGTAGCTGGATAAGAACGTCAAAATTTCCCCAGCGGAAACTTGACCCCAAATTTTAAGATAATTCGGCATCACAAAAAATAGACAGATAACAGATAGACAAAGTGGATATTGGAATGGAAACCAAAAGATGATGCTATCCGAAGC